TTCATTTGTCTCAAGATATTTTTTTCATTTCTTCATTGACCCATTGGTTGTTCAGTAGCATGTTGTGTAATCTCCATATATTTGTGAATTTTCCAATTTTCTTCTTGAAATTGATTTCTAGTTTATACCATTGTGGTTGGAAAAGATGCTTGATGATTTCAATCTTCTTAAATTTATTAAGACTTGTATTGTGGCCTAACATATGATCCATCCTGGAGAATGTTCCACGTGCACTTGAGAAGAATGTGTATTCAGTTGTTAGTGGACAGAATGTTTTGTATATATCTGTTAATTCCATCTGGTTCAATGTGTTGTTTAAGATCAATGTTTTCTTATTGATTTTCTGTATGGAGGATCTATCCATTGATGCAAGTGGAATATTGAAGTCCTCTACTATTATTGTATTGCTGTATATTTCTCCCTTTAGGTCTGTTAATATTTGCTTTATATATTTAGGTGCTCTTTTGGGTGTATAAATATTTACAAATGTTATATCCTCTTGTTGGGTTGATCCCTTTCTCATTATATAATGACCTTATTTGTCTCTTATTACAGTCTTTGTCTTAAAGTCTATTTTGTCTGTTATAAGTATAGCTATCTCAGCTTTCCTTTGGTTTCCATTTGCTTGGAATATCTTTTTCCATCCCTTCACTTTCTGTCTGTGTGACTTCTTAAAGTTGAAGTGAATCTCTTGTAGGCAGCATATAGGTGGGTCTCATTTTTCATCCATTCAGCTACTTGATGTCTTTTGATTGGAGAATTTAGTCCATTTATATTTAAAGTAATTATTGATGGGCATGGATTTACTATTGCCATTTTGTTCACTGTTTTATGGCTGCTGTAATTCCTTTGTTCCTTTATTCTTTTCTTGCTCTCTTCCTTTGTGATTTGATGATTTTCTGTAGTGGTATGCTTAGATTTCTTTCTCTTTCTCTTGTGTATCTACTGTAGGTTTTTGGTTTCTGGTTATCACAAGGCTTACATAAAAGATCTTAGAGCTATAACAGTCTGTTTTAAACTGACAACAACCTAAGTTTGAATACATTCTCAAAGCTCTGCATTTTTATTCTTACCCCATGCATTTTATGTTTTTGCTGTCACAGTTTACATCTTTTAATCTAGTGTACTCGTAAACAAATTATTGTAGTTACACTTATTTGTACTATTCCTGTCTTTTATTGTTTAGTATTTTCATACTAGATTTATAAGTGATTTACCCATCACTATTACATTAGATTATTTTAAAGTTAACTATATATTTACCTATATCCGTGAGATTTGTACTTTCATATGTTTTTCTGTGGCTAACTACTACCTTTTCATTTCAGCTTAAGGCAGTACCTTTAACATTTCTTCTAAGGCTTGTCCAGTGATGAACTCCTTCAGCTTTTGCGTCTCTGGAAAACTCTCTCTCTCCTTCAATTCTAAAGTAAAACTTGGCCAGGTAGAGTATTCTTGGCTGGCAGTTTTTATGTTTCGGTACTTTGAATATATCATGCCACTCCCTTCTGACCTGCAAAATTTCTGCTGAAAAATCTGCTGATGGTCTTGTGGGAGTTCCCTTGTATGCAACAAGTAGTTTTCCTCTTGTTACTGTTAATAATCTCTCCTTTAACTTTTGACAGATTAAGTATAATGAGTCTTGGTGTGGGTCTGTCAGATTTATCTTATTTGTAACTGTCTGGACTTCCTGGATCTGGATGTCTGTTACTTTCCCCAGGTTAGGGAAGTTTTCAGCCATTATCTCTTCACGTAAGCTCTCCTCTCCTTCAGGGACTTCTACAAAGTGAATATTAGTCCACTTGATGTTGTCCCATAAGTCCCTTAAGCTGTATTCACTCTTTTTCATTCTTTTTTCTTTTTGCTCCTCTGTTTAAATGGATTCTACTGCCCTGTCTTCGAGTTCACTGATCCTTTCTTCCACTTCATCTAGTCTGCTGTTGAAACCCTCTGTTGAATTTTTCAGTTGTTATTGTATTCTTTAGCTCTGTGATTTCTGTTTGGTACTTTTTTATATTCTCTGTGTCTTTCTTGAAATTTTCATTTTGTTCATGCATTGTTCTCCTGACCTCAGGGAGCGTCTTTATGTCCATTGTTTTGAACTCTTTATCAGACTAATCACTTATCTCTATTTTATTAAGATCGTTTTCTAAGGTTTTACTTATCCTTTCATTAGGAACATATTCCTTGCTTTCTTCATTTTCCTTGACTCTCTGTGTTGGTTTCTATGCATTAGATAAAACAGCCCCCTTTCCCAGTCTTGATGGAGTGGTCTCATGTAAAAGATGAAACTTACTGTTCAAAATTGCCCTAGCTCTTGGTTCTCTCTCAAACTTTTGTGATTGTCCAAGCAGCCCTCTTTTTTCTTAATGGATCCCAGTAGTTGAGGGTGTACCAAGACCTAGATGTGTCCCAAAGGGGAGGATCTCAGTCAGCACCTAGATTTAGGCTGACTGGAAGCTGGACCCTCAGGCAGCAGCTTTGAGAGTATGCAAATATATCTCTTTCAGGGGAAGACTGGAAGATGGATGTTTCTGTCTGCTGCCTCTGTACTGTGCACTGGTGGTATAGCTGTTTAAGTACTGTTTCTCTGTTTGTTGAAATCCAGTGGGACCTGTGAATGTAAGCCCCATTGACCACCAGAACCAGGCAATCAGTGAGTTTCCTCTGGGTGGCAGTTGCAAAAACCAGGGTGTCAGACATGTGCATGAGCTTTTTTCTGGGGCACATAGTGACTTGGCTTGAGACAAAGGGAAAATGCAAAGATGGTGCCCACTGGCCTCCCTGGTCTCTAGAGAGTGGTGCAGTCATCCCCTACGTGTGTGTTAAATTAGAAGTCTTCTCCTTAGGCCAAAGCTTTTAAGATAAGCAAATAGGTTTCTTTCATGTAAAGACTGGTCTTGCTTCAATCTGCTGCCTCTGCACTAGGCCCTGAGGTGTTAGCCATGGTGAGTTCATGGGAGTCCTTTAAGAACTGTCTTTTAGTTCCCTGTTGCCTTTTGGGTCTCATGGATGCAGGCCTCACTGGCTTTCAAAGCTAGATGTTTTGGGGTCCCATCTTTCAGGTGGAAATCTTAAAAGTTTGGGCACCAGATGTGGAGTCCAAACCCTTCATTCCTCACGGAGAAGCTGGGAATTGTGAGTTCCCTCCCAGTTGTGAGTTGCTGCATTGGGAGTAGGCTTTATGGCTAGACTGTTTCTCAGCCTCTCCTACCGGTTTTGATGTGGGTTTTTACTCATTTGCTCTATGTGTAGGAGTTGCTCAGCTAGTTTCCAGATTTCTTTGAGAGGAAATCGTTCCATATGTAGTTGTAGATTTGGTGTGTCCTTAGGAAGAGGTGAGTTTGGGAGCCTCCTATGCCACCACCTTGAACTGAGATCCTCCTGCCTCTTCCGAACTTCTTAAAAAACAATCATTCTACTTCTTCACCACAGGTTCATTCCATTTTAAAAGCAAACCTTTTACGTTTTCCCAATTATAAGCATTACTCATAGTTACTAAAGAAATTTGAAAAACACAGAAAATATAAAAAAGAAAATGAAAATTATCCATAAGCCCACAATGCAGATATAACCACTGACTACTAAAGTTCTAGCAGGTTTCCTCTTTAGACTTTTTATCTATGAGGTTAGATACAAAAATGGTAGGTAAATAGAGAGATCTATCCCAATTTTTTATTTAACAAAATTTGACCCATACCAAATACAGTGTTTTATATTCTTAAGTTTTCTCAATCATGATATTGTAATCCTAGGTGATGAAATATTCTTTGTAAACATAATAATGGTAATGACTAAATAATATTTCATCTTTCATATCCAATTTTGGACATTTATGTGGTTTTCACTGTCGCATGATTATAAGTAGTGTTGTGATAAACATTCTTATGTGTACATCTTTGTCTATACACCAGGCCTAGAAATGAAATCCTGAGCCAAAGGGTCTAAATATTTTTGAAGCGCTCAATACCTGGTCACATCAATTTATACTTGGTGAGCTGTGCTTGAAAGGGCTTCTTATAAACACTGGGTACTGCTCTTCATTCACTTCTTAACACTCTTCAATCCAGCTTTTCCTTAAAACTATGCCAAAATTGTTCCTCTCCAAGTGCTCTGGTGATTTCCTAATTCTTGAAATAAAAGCCTCCATTTGGTGCCTTCTCTCTCTTTCTCCCTGTCTCTGTAGAATTCGGTTGCCTCATCTCCCCCTTGAAACCCTCTCCTTCATCAGCATCCTTAACTCTCCAGTGCTCTGATTGCCTACAACCTGTCTGGCTGTTTCTCTCACCCTTTGGCTCCTCTGACCCTGCTCCTCACGGGCCCTCATCACCCAGTCTCCAGCCTTTGTACTTTGTGGAATAAAGGCTTCAAGGAAGGGCTTATAAGGAAGCAGAAGAAGTAGATGCTGCCCTCAGAGAAGTCAGATCCATCTTAAATAGACATATGGATTCTTAGAACCCTGAAAAATAGAGGTCAGTAGTATCACAGAGGGAGGACAATGACATAAGACAGGAAGGGAGAGTCATAGGAGGAGGAGGAGGAGGGAAGAATATGGCTTGATGAAGAAGAGGGAAGAGGACAGACCAGACTGAGAAAGGAGATGTGACAGGAGGGCACCATCCTAGCGGCACCAGGTGGAATGCCTGCAAGGCCACATCCAGAAACCTGCTAACTCACTCTCCCTGGGATGGATCCCTTGCCCCTTCCTCTTCCTGTCCAATCCAACTGCCACCATGGGAAGGCGGACAGCTAAGCCTGGCAGAGAGCAAGGAAAACGGCCCCAGCAGAGCACAGGCAACTCAGAGGCCAGGACAGAGTTCACATGTCATGTGTGGGCTTTGGGGACCACAGAGGAAGCAAAGAGGAGTGCCAAGTGCCAAGTGGAAATTCCTAGTTCCTGGGCCAGGCGCAGTGAACCTGAGGGTCTATGTTACATGGCTTATGGTCTCATCTCACTGCCCCCAAGTTAGTTCTACTTCAGGGTCAGGACAAGATCTCACCTTCCTTTGTTCAGTTTTCAATCAGTAGACATAAAAATAGTACAAATACATCTAGCGTTCCTGGAAATTCTGCCATGGTCCACGGTGTGTGCCTATGAAAATATCAGCACCAGGGACAGCAGCACTGCGCATGCAGATAGGGGTAAGAGGCCAAGCTCCTCTCTCTTTTTCCTTTCTTACCGTCACAATACAGCATTTTTATGCCAGGAGAGACCATTATTTACTAAAGTGTTACTGTCATCCTTAGAACAGCCACAAGGCTTCAACATCTTAATGGAAGGAAAATTATCAATGTGATCACAATCAAAGACCTCAGCTCCCTGATGGACTATTAACTCTTCCCTCTCCATCCCAGGCCTGTGGAAACATGGAGACCTGGCATCTGCAGGTTAACATTTGAGCTTTAGACTCGTTGCAGAAACTGATGAGCTGGAGTCAAACAGTTATCGAGCGTCTCAGTGTGGCTTTGTCTTTTTTTTTTTTAACTGGTTGTTTTTTATGGAGATCAAATGCTTGGGAGAACTGTGAATGTCTCAGAATATCATTCTTGCAAATATCAGAGTTCTATATGCATTTTAATGAAATATTTATATTTTAGTCAGTCAAAATACCTGAGGGCCTACAATGTGCCAGGCACAGCTCTAGATGCTGGGAGTGTGTGTGAGACAGACAAGGTACCTGCCCCCACTTACATCTCTTTTGAGACGAGACAGAATAAACAAGGCAACAAATGAGAAATACGATTTTAGACGGTCATGTGGAGAAAATAAAACAAGGCTAGGAAGAGAGGATGGCCGGGGTCTCTGAGGAAGTGACATTTGGGCAGAGCCCTGTGGGGTGAGGAGCCAGCAAACCTATATAGCAGCGTCACTTCTCTTGGCTACAACCTGCTCACCCCATAGACTGAGGGCATGGGGTGACAGGAGTTCAAAGGAATCATTCCAGAGATATGAGATTCTATGACAGGAATCCTAACCATCTTGGATTTTCTCCTTTTGCTTTTCTCCAAATTCCAAAGTCTCTCCCTCTTCTTCCCCTTGATGTCTCCAGACAACCACTGCTATTCCAACCACTGTTTCAGGGACATAGACATCGTCATCCATTCTATCTCAACTCCCAGGAGGCCCAGGATGTCAGTCCGTGTTTTCCTTGAGCTATGCCTCCAATACCAACCATGAGTGACTATTGGACACTTGAGAAAAAACAAGTTCAACCGAGGATGTGAAGTTTTAATTTAATTTATTTAAATATACAGGAGTCCCCCCTTATCTGCAGGATATATGTTCTAAGACCCCCAGTGGACGCCTGAAACTGCGGATAGTATCGAACCCTGTATATACTCTGTTTTCCCCATATATCCATACCTATGATAAATTGAGTTTATAAATTAGGCGCAGTAAGATTAACAACAATAACCAATAATAAAATAGCACATATAACATTATACTGTAATAAAACTTATGTGAAAGTGGTCTCACTCTCAAAATATCTTATTGTATGGTAACTCGCCCTTCTTCTTGTGGTGATGTCAGATGATCCAATGCCTACGTGGTGAGATGAAGTGAGGCAAATGAGATGAAGTGAGGAGAATGACACAGGCACTGTGACATAGCATTAGGCTACTGCTGAGCCTCTGACAAAACTCCGAATGAGGATCATCTGCTTGCGGACCATGGTTGACTGGGTAACTAAAACCACAGAAAGTGAAACTGCAGATAAGGGGGGACTACTGTAATAATAAACTCATTAATAGTTTTTATATTGGTTATATGTTATGATAAAATTTTGAGTATATTGGATTAAATATACTATTAAAATTAATTTTGCCTGTTTCTGGCCTTTTTAATGTGGCTATAAGAAAATGTGTAGTTATATCTGTGGCTCCAGTTGTATTTCTACTGGTCAGTGCTGGCCTCCAGCCTGCTGAGTGGTGGGAGAGGGGTAGGGGTAACCAAGTTCCTGTGGGGTCCTCCAGCCCCAAGTCACCATAGAAAGGTCCAGTCAGACTTTCATTTCTGGCCTTCCTCTTTTTCTTGCTTCTCAAACACCATGCTCCCAGACTTTTGGGGTGGTGTTGAGCTCCCGCCAGGTGGAAGATTTGAAGCAACCAACACAAAGGCCCCTACTCCCTCTATCACCGTTCTGTAAAGAAGGAGTTCCCTCACTAATGCTGTCACTGGTTCAGGCGTCCTAAGGGGCCTCTCCATCTCTCCTCCCTTCCTGCCAGGGCGTGTGTAACATCCCTTAAGATCCCAACTCAGACTCCTGCCAGGGTGTCTTGATGGCTGAGGCATCCACTTTAATACATTGGGCTACTTTAGCTCTATCTTTATCTGAAAGCTGCAGACAGATCTGTCCACAGATAAACTCTGACAGACGGAAGAGCTCCGTGGAGTCCCAGCCTGCTGGGCTGGGGGTAGCTATTGCTCCTGGGTGTGGACTATACTGGGAGCCAGGGCTGAGACAAAAACAGGAGAAATGTGACTGAAGGAAGATACCAGGATCTGGGGAAAATCCAACCTTTGGGTTCCCCCAAAGCTTATACAATTTTAAGGATCTCCTTTAAGAAAATAACCCTCAAGTGTTTTGTCTTCTTAAATTTTACAAAAATATGTGATCTTATGAACACATTTTTAGGATTCCTCCAGGGTCTTGGAAGGAACCTGTGCAAAGAACCTGTGCAATGGAGGGACTTATGCACCTTACGGCAGAGGGTCTCCAGACCAGCAGCATCAGCAGCATCTGGGGACTTGTTAGAAATACCAATTCTTGGGCCCCACTCCAGAGCTGCTTAATCAGAAATTCTAGAGTGGGGCCAGAAATCTGAGTTTTCATAAGCCCTCCAGGTGATTTTGATGCCCACTCAAGTTTGAGAACCACTGACATTGTGGTTAAAAGCATGGATTCTGGAGGAAGGCTACCTGAGCCCAGTTTTGCTGTTTGTTATCTGCATGAGCTTGGCAAGTTACTTAATCACCCTAAGCCTTAGTTTCACCATCTGTAAAATGGGGCAATAGTAGAACAGATCTCAAAAAGTTGTTGTGTGGATTAAACAAGACAATGTATGTCATGCTAAGCATAGTACCTGTCGTGCTGTGTTTGCTTAATAAATCATATATTGTTAGTCTGCAGAAAGTGTGTAGTTGTTGGAGGGAGGGTGCGGAGGAGGGAGATGTGAAGATAAGAGGTCATCTTTAGGCATAATCACAAAGAGGGTCAAATGTGACCTTGGCCACTTTCCCCAGGGTCTGCTGTGTGGCCCTCCAACTGATTTGCCCTTCCTGGCAGGAGGGTGTACAGCCCCTGCCTCCCAGGTCGCCTGGTTGTTGTCCTTCTTTTTCAAGGACCTGGGTCAACCTTCTAAATTAGTCAAATTAATACACGAATTTAATTAGTCTTACCCTTTGGGGAGTCATAAACCTCCTGGAAATACAATGGGAGTTCAAGACTTCTCTCTAGAGATCTATGTGCATGTAACACATGCACTAAACTGGCAGACCACATCATGAAACCGCTGAAGGCCATGCCCGGGACCCTCAGTTAAGAACCCTTAAGGTGTCACTCAAGAACATTTAGGAAGGAAGAACGGGAAGGAGAGATGGAGGGAGGGCTGTGTGCTAACTGGTCAACCTGATACCTGTTTTGGGAATATAACTGAATTTTAGCAGATGCCTTCTGAATTCAATGTCATATCCCGGATAAATGCTCTTAATTGTGGGAATTTCAGGCACTGTGGCAGGGAAGATTTGGGACAGGAAGTACCTTTTAACACCTTTCAATCATATCACAAAGCACCTTCAAGCTCTTCTCATACACAAGGGGAATTCTGTGTGGAAATGTTCATTTCAAAGACATTTACAATCCCAGAAGGACTATTTGGTGGCTGAAGATTATCTAGTGCTGATAAAAGCTTAAATGTGGTTAAATCTGAAAAACAGACAAGCCAGAGATGTGTGTATGACATATTAATTTTTCAGTCTGTTTCTGTCACTCTCAGCTTATGAGGTTTGTGACATGTTTGTGTTGTATTTAGCTGTCACCCAGCTGCAATTTACGACGTTCCTTGGAATCAAACTTTTAGTTGACTGGGGCAGAAAAAGATTCATGATGACAGCCTTTGTGGCTTTGGGCATTTCAAGTCCCTCTGATGATGTTGTTACTTGGTTTGAAGTCAGATTAGAAAGAAAACAACTCCTTTCCCTGAACAGAAAGGCAGTTGGTCAGGACACACAGGTAGGATGTGCCGTGGACTTGAGAAGTTTCACAGCGCTTTCCTCAATGATCCAACTGTCTACCCCAACTAGGTAAACCAAACAACAATGCGGGTAGGAGCAGATGGTACCTGGGAGCAGAGGGCCCGGTCTGTCTGACCTCCAGCCCACTGTGCACCAGGGCTGCTCTTGGACCAGTTCATGGGTGGAGAGGTCAAATGCTAGGTGGTCATCAGTCCACGAAATGGCAAGACAGGAAGAGAGGAGACAAATGGAGGTGAGAACAGAAGCCTGGGGCAAAGGAGGAGGAGCAGGATGAGGCCTTGAGGAAGCAGTTGCCCTGGAGTGAGAAGGTTCTGGATTCTGCTGCCACATCCTACCCCTCACCCTCCCCCGCTTAATGGTGCAGGCTTCCAGTGGGTAACGGAATGTTGAAAGTGAGACAGTCTTCTGGCCTCTGGCCCTGCAGCTCCACCCCCACCCCCATCTCTCCTGACACGGAGGAGGAACCTCTGAACAGCTGCCCGTGGGTGTCCTGAGTGCTCTTAGGTTAGCCCTGCCACTCTGTCCCATGAGTGCTGTGAGCTGAGATCTGCCACTGCAGGCCAAGCGCAGGGACAGGGGCCCGCCATGTGCTTGTCCCCTTAGGCTTTTTTGGGATGCTGGAGAAGCTGCCGGCTTGGGAATTCCCCAGACCCTCTTGAATGGAGAGGATCACCCTTAGCCATCCTTCTGCCAGGAGTCCTTTCCCAGGAAGAGCCCTTGAACATTGGCGCTGACCTTGCTCTAGAAGAAAGAAAGGGAAGGGGAATCCAGCTGAGGTGTTGGCCAGTTGTGCTACTGGGGTGCCCAAATAGAGCTGCTGCTTTGGATCCAGTGAGTGCCTTGGCTTCCTGAGCGTGGGGAGGGCCATTTGACCCCTCT